TTCATTGAGTGTTAACCAGCGTGAGCTGATGAACGAAGACCGTGGGGCCATCCTTCGGGAGGCCCTGCTCAACAGCAGCAAGACCTCCTGGAATCGATTGCCCAGGGGCATCGCACAGATGTTAGCGGTCAATTCGGCTGTCACCAGTCTACCATCCTCAGTGTTCACCCAGGCCGAGCAGCAGGGAGATTCGACAGAAGGTGTTGGTTGCCAGCAGAAAGAAGGGCAAGATGGGTAGAAAGATAGTCTGCACTGCTGAACAAGTAACGGCTAAGCTACTGCAAGTGTGAAGTTGGTAGGCTTGTTGCTTAGGAGGGTTCCTGAGGTAAACTCCCTCCGGAATCGAATGGCACTGTCAGAATTGTCTACCCGTTTGATAGGTTCTGAGACGCTCATTTTCTTTAATTTCATTTGTCGTTACAGCTTTAAAAGGGATACATGTACAGTGAATATATATTTATTCAAGGAGCCTTACACCCATAAGTTGATCTACGCAAGTGTTTTGGGAGCAGTGGGAGTAAAAAATTGTGGTTAAGTAACCCTGGGGACATTTTTCCGTCGCTCACTGAGCTTTACGCGAAATCTATATATGTATGGATAACTTTGGAAATCCGACATTTTCATCCGACAATGATGTGATTGGTCAATTACGCCGCTGCAAGGCGGTATATCTGAAACTGCTATTTTTTCCTATGGGATCGTGTTATTGCGCGATGTGGATGATATGTTGATGGCCGACATTGCCATCGCCCAATCCAATTGTGTGAAAATAATTCACCCAATCATTGACTTCCTGTTGTCGGTCGTCCAATCCCCTGGTCAAAATTTGTCGGTTAGATGTCGGATGCCATGTACATGTGCACATTGAAATCTTCAGTTGAATAATGCTTTCGTATCAGAAATGAAAAATGCACGACTACGTCGGAGACAATTTCCTATAAAGTATACACACCTCCAACAGCAAAGTCTATACTATGATACATCCAGCGTGCTCAAATGCCACCACATAGGAAGATTGTGAATTGACCGGTTTTGAGCATCGGAAATATTTACTTGGCACATGGCGCAACTTTCACTCAATACTATCAAAGCCGATATGTACGAACATTGCGAGTACTCGGTCTCAGTCACTGTATCTACCGCAACATTTCTCTGTGCGGGGGTGCATGCTGCGCATCAACTGCGTGCTGTAGTGGTGGTGAGTCGTCCTGCGTGTCGTGGCAGCAGTCCGACTGTGTGCCGTGGTAATTGTCCGTGCTATGTGCCGTGGTGGTTGGCCGTGCTGTTTGCCGTCGTGGCTGTCCATGGTGACGGCGGTGCTGTGCGTCCATGCTGTGTGCTGTGGTGCTGGTTCGTACTGTGTTCCTAACTTGGGGTCCGCTCAGCGTGCCATTGTGGTGACAGGTGGAAGACAGTGGCAAGTACAATTATCATTTCTTAGCATTAATTGTACTATACAGTTAACTGATACCGTCCATTCGTTTTTGCCTCCAGCTTTCGTTGTCCATGCGTCCATAGACCGATTCCTACAGCAAGGAGAATGCTGCACGATACAGATTGGCGGATCGAACAGAGTCCTAGGTGGAAGTGCTTGGCGATAACATCTTCGACAAGCACATCACTGAATTCATGACGACTTGTGCCCACGACAAACTCCGTTTATCCGCAGGCAACATTTCGCGACTTTGAACAAAACGCAGGGGACCAGTGTGCTCAGCTGGAGCTCCAATCCACCAAAGGTTCCACACATCGTAGACCTTGCAAGTCAGAAGTCGGATTCACATTGGGACATTGTGAAAACGGCCATCTCAGAGCGGTCGTTCATTCATTTCAGATGGTGGTGGATTGCGTGAGAGCGACTCATAGCTGCTCTGGGTACCCAGTGCAGACTCAACCTGCGAAAGGCGGATGGCTGGTGAGTCTGGGAGCCCAAATTCCAGTGGTAGTAGTCCTGTTAAGTGCGGTTACGCACGGCTAGCGTCACTTCGGTGCACTGCGGTGTGAAGGGCCGCGCAAAATGACTGTAACTCGATATGGATTTGGCATTGCTTCCCGGAAGGATGACGCCTTGCAAACAACCAAGGCGCGGACTTACAACAAGAGCAAGGTGAGCCTGAGGCATTGTCGATGCGGTTTGAGATCGAAAATGTCCCTCGTTTTTAGACATCTCGAACAAAATGTCCTCGATCGCAGTTGAATTGATTGGTGGTGTTGTGAAGCGCGACAATCTTGAAACAACTTTCGCTGTCACTTGGGTCGGGAGTCATTTAGATTAGGACTCAATTGAACTTTGCAATTTCGTCATGTCACTTTCCACAGAACACAGTCGACATCCTAGGACAAATACGGGGGGGTGCAACCAAGTACTAACCTTTGAATAATACAAACTGTATGGTCGATTTCGTGGAATCGTATGAAACTTTTGACTCATTATTTTAATGATGATGAATTTCAAATCACCATATCTACTACAATACTGCACAAAACGTGCCAAGGCAATGTCATAGCGCATCTAGAATGGCGGTGACGCAGCTTACGATTGTCCATTGTGAAAACGACCGAGTCAGTCAAAGGATATAGGACTATAATCTGAACCGTACGAAAACTTATGACACCCACTATACAGTGCATAGATGCAGGTCATTGTTGTGAGTCCGCGCCTTGTTTGCCCGCAAGGCCACTTCCTTTCGGGAAGCAATGCAAATCCAAACTGGGTTACTTCTCTTTACCCTCCTAGTCAATTAACTTCGTTCCCCTCAATACAGCAGCAATTTACCAGGACGTCCAGGTAGTCCTGTACTCAATCGTCCCGTACGAATCTATCCAACATCTAGCAACCGACCTCAGCAAGGTTGAGCTGGACTCGGGGCGCACTCGACCAGAGCAGCCATAAATTTCTTTTGTGCAGCTTGGAGATAGCGCTACTATCGCATTTTTTGAAGCACTTGCATTACTTTCGCGCGGCGTATGCGAGAGCTGCATCTACCACTCGTCACGCATTGTGTATGCAGAAGCTGGAGGCATTTTGCGGATATACACAGGTTTGACTCAATGCAGAGAGCCTCGAACCTGCGATATTCCAGCTGCCCTGGGAGCCTAATATTGCCGCGATGAGTGCAGAGCCTGTGTGTTTCGTGCCCATACCCGTGTCCAGCCCAAACCTTGCGCAGACGATAGTTCCATCAAACTTCGAGGGCAAGCATTGTCATGGAGTCCATCCAGAGTTTGTCAATCGATGTACTTCAACAATCGTCTGTCTCGAGCCAATTAGTCGAGGGCGCCATCGAAGGCAGCGGCTGCGTTGACAAGTCGGGTGACCTCGTCAACTATGAACTGGGGTTGAACGATTTCGTGGAAGGTGAACATGAACTTACTATGCTCCGATCGCACCATTGGACCTGACTACGCCTCACGCTATGCAATCTTAATCTTGGTAATGAACTTGCTTGTTGTATTGTGTCCTGGGAAACTATATAGCCTGCTCTCTCCGTGTCAATGGACAGTATGTCCGATCTCACTTTCTACAAACACAGTGGGCATGTATTCGCCGTGGACGTGCTGTTCAGCAATCAAAAAGCCCGTCTACCCTATTGCTCTGTGTGCCCCTCAACAATGAACAACCTTGCGAGTCAATGCATTGATGAGAACTATACACGCGTCGTCTCGAGCGTATCACGACTTCGTCGTTCAGTGTTGGACGTGACACGGAGTGCTTCCATGTGGAGGCACTCAAGATTGCTGTCGTCATCCTCCCGCTACCACCGCGTGGAGTCGGTGCTACCCCCGGTCTGGGCATTCTTCTGGTGCATGAAAACAACGAACTGCACGAATGATACCACGGCGCGACTGTCCACCGGTGACTGCCAACCTACGACGATCGCAGCAGAGAATAAGACAAAGTTTGCACAAAGTCCTCGTGATTCAAGCTCCCAGGAATAATTCACTTTTATTGCCTGCACGGCTTGTGCTTGGGGTTCTCGATTTTGCATGAACACGAGTCCCCAACACACCCATTCACCAATTTGTTCCAGAGATGGCGAAGAACCGATGCAATGCGCATTGTCGCAATGCTTGCAATCTTCACACCAACTGCTTGGTGCGCGAACCGTAGTTTTTTCACAATGTATGGTTCCTCCGCTTTCCCTACAAGAACCATGTCAACTGCTCGTCTGGCTATCACATCGACAATTTCCCTTTCCTGTGCGACCTCAGCAAAGTTGCTTGTGAAAAATTTTATGCTACACCAAAAACAGTGACAGACAAACCGACTTCTCGGGAGTGCAGCGGGTTTTGCTCTTTACGAAGCACTAAATCAAATCAGTCAAGAAAAGACGTGTCTGTTCGTGGCGGTGCCCCGAGCCCAACTCCACGAGCTCCTGTGTGTGAAGTTGGTGTTTGGGACGATTGTGTTTGCACGTGTGATGTCCTAGTTCGATACCCTGGGCGCCCAGGTTCAACAAGTGCCCAGGTTCAACGAGTGCCCAGGTTCAACGAGTGCCCAGGTTCAACGAAGTAGGGCAGGGGCAAGCGATTGGATTGATAATCGATCTCACTTTTGGATTTGTCATCGAGGTCGCCGTTGTGAACACGGCAAGCCGTCGGTTGCGAACACCGTCGCAA